TCCAAGCCGTGGGGTGCCTTTGACACATGTAGAGATGTTGCATCTAGTGACTTTAAGAAAAACTAACTCTGCTTTCTGAGGTCTTAGAAACGGGTTATTAAAAGAGTTCCTGTTAGTGTTATCTGTTTAAAATAGGTCTAGAAAGAAGGTGGCAAACAGACCCAGCCTATTTTTAGCAGAGGGCTCCAAACAGTAGCGGTGGAAAGCAGCACCAGTGATACTGAACAGGGATGGTGCTGAAATCTGCCCAAAGTAGTTGTCTTCGAACTTGTGTATGCATGAGAATCACCTGGGGAGGGGGAATTGTTAAAGCTCAGAATGCCAGCAATTCTCCCCCTACCCTGATTTCTGATTCAAGAGACTTGGGGGAAGCCTGGAATGTGCATTTTTAATGAGTTCCCAGTGATGTTGATACTTGAGACCAATTATTCTAGAGACAGCAAGGCCCCTACTGGAAATGACGCCCCTCATTTGCCTGTGCTGGTGGTCCCATAGGGCCTATCACTCTGGGAATACCATTCTTGACTGTGGGTGTTCCTTCAAAGTGAACATAGCTCTGAGGAGCAGGAGGCAGGTTAAACAGCCACACCTTTAAGAACATAAAAAGTTGAAGAGAGACAGAAGAGAGACAGACATGTGCAGTGCTGAGCTGGGGCCCTCACAATGGGAACTGGCTTCTTTCCTGGGGAATAAGTAATTTCAATTCAGCAGTAGATGCCAACTCAACTAGGTCCTCCCTCTAAGACTCTTGTTTCTGTACCATCAGTGGCTCAAGGTCTCTGAGAGAGGGCAAGAAAATGATTGAGATCCACCCTTGGCAGCAAAAGGGAAAGTTCCCCTGGGATAATTTCTGGGTCTAGAATTCAACTTTCTGTGCCGAGTGGCAGGTAGAGAAATGGGAGGGTGGTGATATTTGTCGCAAGAGACCCATTCCCCTACCCCCTCCTTGTTTCTTCTAGAAGGTCTGGGTGCTGTGTTCCCAACTTTTTCTGAGCTGAGAAGGGTCAAGAAAAGATAACAAAGAGCCCAGAAGGCTTCTCCTGGCAGGTCCTCACCAGCAGGGCCTGTGTCTGACAGACAGATGGGTCAGAGAAGCCCATTCTTGGGAAGCATGATTGCTTCATAGCTCTCGTAGAATTCCCATGTTTGTTTCTCATTAGAATGCATTCTATGTTAATAGGATCTTCAAAAAGGACCTGCTCATCTCAGGTGTGCTTAGGAGAACAAGAGGAAGGAGTTTTAATCCACATTTGGGTGAAGGTGGTAATGAGAGGTGAAGCCAGCTGGACTTCCTGGGTCAAGTGGGGACTTGGAGAACTTTACTATCTTAAAAGAGGATTGTAAAGTGCACCAAAAGCACTCTATAGCTAGGATTGTAAAACGCACCAATCAGCGCTCTGTAACTAGCTAGAGGTTTGTAAAATGCACCAATCAGTGCTCTGTAAAAATGCACCAATCAGCACTCTGTGGCTAGCTAGAAGTTTGTAAAATGGACCAGTCAGCACTCTGTAAAGTGGACCAATTAGCAGGACACAGGCTAGGGGTGGCATCCACAGCTGGGACCAGTGTCTTCTGCATCTAGGCAGGGGCAGCGAGTACCGAGGCCTGGAGCAGGTAGTGACTCCTTGATCTGATTTTGAGGGCCTTCTCGCTGTATGCTTTTTACAGATGTGACACAATATGGACAAATATAAGGGAATAAAAGCTGGCCACCCCCCAGCCAGCAGCAACAACCTGCTTGGGTCCCCTTCCGTCCTGTGGAAGCTTTATTCTTTCCCTCTTGACAGTAAATATTGCTGCTGGCAGAGAGGGGTGAAACAATAATGATGGCAGTGATAGAGAAGAGTGGAGTGTGCTTGGTGACTCCTTTCCACACAGGGAGCTGTTTCCAGAGCAGTTCTCTTCTGGGAGGCCTATGAATTTTGTTATTAAAAAGGAAACCTAGGCCGGGCGCGGTGGCTCATACCTGTAATCCCAGCACTTTGGGAGGCTGAGGCAGGTGGATCACCTCAGGTCAGGAGTTCGAGATCAGCGTGGCCTACATGGGGAAACCCCGTCTCTACTAAAAATATAAAAATTAGCCAGGTGTGGTGGTGCATGCCTGTAGCTCTACCTACTTAGGAGGCTAAGGCAGGAGAATCGCTTGAACCTGGGAAGCGGAGGTTGCAGTGAGCCAAAATTGCACCACTGCACTCCAGCCTGGATGACAGAGTGAGACTCTGTCTCAAAAAAAAAAAATAAGAGGAAACCACCTATTCCCTCAGAAAAGGATAGAGACACCATTCTTACCAATTAACAACAGTATAATTTTATTGTGATGATTAATATTGGAATTACTAGCTTTGATTAACTGAGCCACTTCTGTGTGGTAGGACACGTACTTTATAGATGCCATCTTATTAAACCCTGGCAATGCTAGAAAGTAAGTGATGTCATCTGCACTTTAAAGATGAGGCGATGGACCATGTTCATAGTCACACTGTGGATCACTGGGAAAGCTGGGATTGCAACATATATCTGTCTAATCAGTGGAGTTCATTCTCGCTATTTGCCAGCCATGGGGATCCAATGGTGAGCCCAGTAAGCTGTGGCTCTTGACCTCATGGGGCTTCCAGGCAGCAGGTAGGGGGTTAGTGGAAAAATATCAGTTGGATTAATCAAGTCAAGCAGTGACTGAAAATTATTTTCATCAGAGGGTATGACATACCCTTTTTTTTTTTTTTTTTTTTTTTTTTTTTTTTTTTTTGAGATGAAGTCTTACTCTGTCACCCAGGCTGGAGTGCAGTGGGGCGATCTCAGCTCACTGCAACCTTTGCCTCCCAGGTTCAAGCGATTCTGCTGCCTCAGCCTCCTAACTGGGATTACAGGTGTGCGCCACCACGCCCAGCTAAATATTCTGTATTTTTAGTAGAGACGGAGTTTCCCCATGTTGGCCAGGCTGGACTCAAACTCCTGACCTCAAGTGATCCTCCTGTCTCAGCCTCCCAAAGTGCTGGGATTACAGGCATGAGCCACCACACCCAGCTCACATACCTTATTTTTAATCTTCTTTTATATCCAATTTTCAGTTACTCTTAAAAATACAAACAGATGTAATTGGTGTTTAGTCAATACTCAATGAATTTTAATAAACAACAATTTTTAATCGGAGAAAAAGAAAACACACACACACACCTGTAATGCCATGTGGAACTACGCCTTGCTGCACAGTGATCCTGCCAGATGAGCCCCGGCATAAAATTAATGCTGCCTTAGGCACCACTGCCACCTGGTGTCAGGCATCAGAATTGCAGGCTTGGCAGCAGCCAAAGTGGCCTGGGGTGGTGGGGAAGCAGGGGGCGGGCAGGACCCATTTTCACTAGGAGCAGGCAGATTTCCTGTCCTAGCCACCTAAACCCTCCAGGCGCTGTTGAGTATGTTTCAATAGATGCCTGCTCATTTGTCGTTTGGTGACAGCTAGGTCTGTATCAGCTTTCTTTTATCTGTATGTCCTAAATGATTATTGTGTTCAGGACCTTTAAACTGTTTTGTTATAATCAAATTAACATTTGAAGGTTCTGATGATAAAGTGACATAAATATAGGTGAATACTTGAGGGTAAACTCTAGACTACACTTACGCCAATAATAGTTCTCTTTAGTTGCACGTCTTCATAAAAAGACCCCCCATACTTTGACACCAGCTACTTCTCAGCCTAACCCTCTACATGCTTAAGCATATGCCAGTAACTCACAGTTTCCGAAACTTTCCAGACTCTTCCTTGTCTGCCTGCCGCCTTTGTCTGTGCTATTCCCTCTGCCTGGAACTACTTTCCTCCACCCTTCCCTTCCGAATTTATTCTTTAAATGTCAAATCAAGGTCGACAATTTGTGGGAAATTTCCATAAAGTAAATTCAGAAACAACAGTGTTGTATGTTGTATTGCAGTGTCTCTAGAGAAATGGAGATGTGGTTCTGAACCCATTTTTATCTCTTTCATAGATTTGGCCATGGTCAGTTGCTGACTTGTTCTATCTCAGTGGTTTCATCCATTAAGTGGAAATAATAATGTCCTTTGCCCCCAGCATTGAAATATACATATATATCTCATATATATGTATCAACTGACAGCTGCAAAGATGTGGATATAGATAGATATGCCCCTAATTTGAGGTTTATATATATACACACATATAACATATATATTATATATTATATATTATATATTATATATTATATATATTTAATGCATAGGGTTTGATATACATAATATTTAATATATAATATATAAGGGTTTAATATATATAATAGAGGTTTAATATATATAATATATAGGGGTTATATATATATATATAGTGTTTGGGGTTTCATATATATAAAACCCCTAATTGAGGTATGTCTATATATAATATAGATACATATATTTAATATATGGGGGTTAATATATATAATATTTAGGGGTTATATACCTATTACATAAAGAAGCCCCCTAAATTGTGTGTATGTATCTATGTATATGTATAAACCTTTTCTGATGAGACAAAGTGCTTCCTTTGCACCATGTCTAGTACTTAGTAGAAGTGAAAGGGCAGGTGACACTGTGGATTATTGGATATATGTAAATACCTAGAATCTTAATCAATGAGTGCCCAGCAAATGGTTTACATTACCTTTTTTGTTTTGCTTGCAGATAAATTTTTTTAAAAATATGTTTGGTGGAGTTAAAAATAAATGTCCAATTTTGACTGAACTGGCATTATTGCTCTCCTTGATCCATCACTATATGTCACCCGAGTGCTGGTAGGCTTCCTTAGCTGATAGCTGCAAAGATGCGGATATTAGAATGAAAGGCGTTAGGCAATGATGCTATTTCTGGTGCTGTTACTTTTGTCGAATCTGTGTTCACCAGGTACCTTTGTGCTGGCACCTGTGATTAGTGAATTGGTCACGGAAGTATGTTTGCAATGTGCTTTCTCTGTGTTGTCCAGACAGTTTTAAATGTCTGTCTGTTTTTCTGACCAGGTAGTCGACAGTGACAGGCCAGAAAGGTCCAAGTTCCGGCTCACTGGAAAGGGAGTGGATCAAGAGCCTAAAGGAATTTTCAGAATCAATGAGAACACAGGGAGCGTCTCCGTGACACGGACCTTAGACAGAGAAGTCATTGCTGTTTATCAAGTGAGTATCCCTCCCATGCCCACCCTGTGTGCAGAAATGTGGCTTTCAAAGATTATTTTCTTCCCACTGAGCTCATTATTTCTGTGCCTCATCAAACCCGGGACTGCATGGCTTTAGGGTGTTTCTGTGGGAGCTGAAGTGGATGGAGTTGAACCCTGACAGGGTAACAGTGGGGGGTCTTTATCTCATCAACAGAGCCCTCCAGGCCTGCATCAGACTTTGGGTACCAGAGACCAGAATGGAGACCCTGGGGACCCCTCAGAGGAGGTCAGAACCCTTAGGGAAACTTTGGTTTTCCAGAGACCAGTTTGATGATCTAGAGCTGGAAGAGGTATAAACCCCAAGACCTGATACAATTAGCAAGACATGGTCCTTGGGGTGAAAAAAACTGCTAAATATTCAGCAATAAAGGAGTAGTTAAATTGTGGCAGATTTTGCAAGGCAGTTGGGCCATTTAAAATGCTTTTGAAGAAGTTGTAGTTATACAGGAAAGATTCAAGATGTTGAATGAAAATGACATACAGACACATATGGTATCCTCATTACCAATGGAGTAATGGAGTATTTGTACCTATCATGAGGTGTATATGTTTAAGAAAAATGAAAAAGAAAAATCAATGTGTTAATGGTTATATTTGGAAGTGATTGATTTCTTTGGTTTTCTTACCTACTTAAATGCATTATTGTGAGTTTGCAGTGAGAAGATACTATAAGGGCATTGGGGGCATAAGGTGCTGGACAGACATAGAGCAGTAGCGTGATGGTAGGTTGTGAAGTCCCCACCCTCCAGCAGAACCTTGGCTGGGCAATGCGCTCAAGGGTCTCGGGCCCTGGGAGGATGCGGGTGCCTTCCAAATTTCCATCTCGGAAGACTTGCCAGAGACTTTTCTGAGCATTTGCTGGGAGAATCCCCTGTCAAGGAGAACTGAAGAGTGAGCTATGTGTCCCACATTATACCCAAGGGGGAATCGGGTAGTTGTATAAATTGAATGTTGGTGCCCTCAGAAATACCCAGTTCCACTTGGCCTTGACAGTAACCAGACGTGACCTGGCAGCTATTGGTGTCCAGCTGCTGTAGGAACAACCAGCAATCGACTATGGATAGATGCCCTCTTCTCCCTCCATGCCCATCATGGGAGTCTCCAAGAAAGTTCGGGCACAAGGAACTAAGGAAAGATACAATAAATTTCATAATTTCTTAGCAGAGTGATCAAGAGCTCTGGGGTCTGATATGGTTGAGCTGTGGCCCCACCCCAATCTCATCTGGAAATGTAGCTCTGACAATTCCCACATGTCGTGGTAGGAACCCAGTGGGAGGTAATTGAATCATGGGGGTGAGTCTTTCCTGTGCTGTTCTCGTGATAGTGAATAAGTCTCATGAGAACTGACGGTTTTATGAATGGGAGTTCCCCTACACATGCTCTCTTGCCCACCATGTAAGAGGTCCCTTTGTTCTTCCTTCATTTTCTGCCATGACTTTGAGGCCTTCCCAGCCATGTAGAACTGTGAGTTCATTGAACCTCTGTCCTTTATAAATTACCCAGTCCCGGGTATGTCTTTATTAGCAGCATGAGAACGGACTAATACAGGGTCTGAGATCCTCCATTCAGATCTCAGTGCTGCTGCATACTGAGCTGTGGGAACTTGAGCAACACTCTTACCCTCCCTGATTTGGGATTCTTGTCTATAAAGTGTGAATAGAGCTAACGCTTTGGGGGATTATAAAAAATGAAATTACTAGTTTTGGCTAACTAGTCATTGCGACACAGCTAATCAAATAGAGCTTGGGCTGCAGCTTGGAGCTTCTCATACTTTTTAGAAACTGAGGCCATATAATATTACAGTAGTTAAAAGCATAGATTCTGCACACAGCCAGATTGGCTGCATTCAAATCATGGCTATCATATACTAGGTGTGGGAACTTGGCAAGGTGTCTGCCTCGACTTCTTAACCTGGAAAATGGGAATAATAATGATCTCATAGGATTTCATAAGGATTAAATGAACTAATACATATCAAGCATTTAGAAAATGCCAGAAACATAGTAAGCACCATATAATCTTCCTACATGAGTAACGGTAATCGATTATATTAAAGGTGAAGGAAGGTAAGTGAAAACCCAAAGGACTTCAAGTTATAGCCCAATTTCTCATCTCCAGCACGAACTTTCCTTGAATAATCTTGAGTTTTTACTATACTTTTATAGTCTACTTCATAGCATATTGATTGACTGAGCAATTCATTCATTCTACATACATTTAATTCAGTATTTATAGGGTGAGGGACACTCTTCAAGATAGTAGGGGGATATAGTAGCAACAAGACACACTGGGTTCCTTGCTTTCATGTATCTTTTATTCTTGTTCTTTGTTTCAAAGTAAACTGGCTTGAATTGCTCTCTTCTGTGGGTATGTGACATGCCAGGAAGTTGTGCCTTGTTTATAACATGGCTTGTTGATAACACTGGCACAGGGTCATGTACCCTCATTGGAAAGGCTGCTGGTATTTAGTGGGAATGCAGTTTCTTACACAAGTACTTGCGTTACTTATGACTGGCAGACTAGGACCCAGTCATTAACAGTGCACTCTTCAATGGGCTCATGAGGGCCTACTTTCTGATGCCATTTCCCTCCATGCCTCATGCCCTTCAGTTCAGTCATTGTCCTGTTTTCATGATTCCCTCGCTGAAGCTTCTTACACTTGTGGAAGCTTCTTCCTTGAAGAAGCACGTTTGAGGAAGAGCCCCGATCACTCTGTGGTTCTCCTATTTTTAGACAATGAGAACTGGGTTACTCTCATGTTGGTCTACTTTGGGCACAGGAATGTTGCAATTTCAGTTCGTTTTAAGTGCCTATTTAAGAATAAGTTACTTTTTTAATAGTACAGCTAGATCCATGGTGTTCATGGTAGTCAACATTGTTGGTAGCAAATGAGGTTCTTCAAAGAGTAGAATGTAAGATCTCCAAATCCCCACATTTTAGTTTCTAGTCTTGCAAGTTTAAAAAGAACAGAGCCTGCGGGTGAATGTGTTGCCATCATAATAGCGCCAGTGTTTCTATTGTTTAATGTTAAGTGCTACTCACATGCAAGTATGTGTTAACGTATTAACATTTTCCCAATCCAACAAGAAACATTTTGATCTAAACCTCAGGGATTTGTATGATAAGAAATAATCTGGAATACATTTGTCCTTGGGCCCCTGAAGTGCATCACCCTTGAAGCTGCTGTTTATTGAACACTGCATGGCAGATACCGTGCTAAACACATTGTATACATTCTCTTATTTAATCCATTTCACACAACAGACTTAAGAAGTAGGTGTTAACACCATTTTACAGATAAGTAAATAACTGTTAAACAACTTTTTCAAGGTCTCACAGCTGGCATGTGTTGGATTTGGGATCCATATCCGTTTCTTTTCAGCTCCAAAGCCCTGCATTTTCAGTCGCTAAGAAACACTCTTCCTATTTTATCCCCAACTAGATTTTAGATCTGATCTGTAAATTCTTTAGCTCTTTTCTTAGGAACTCTGCTTACTGGGGATGGGAAGGGAGTTTGACTGGCTGAGTGATCTATTACTTTTTAAAAATCATCCATTTGCATGACCCACTGCCATCTTGCTACTGCTCCCTGCCCCAGCCCCCAGAAGAACTTCCCAAGCTTCTGACCCAAAGTAGCACCTGGCAAAATAATTTATCTCTTGCAGTATTGGAAGCTGACATACTAATGCAAAGCCTCCTGAAATATTACTCATTATTATGCATTTTGCCAGCATTTGAGTGATTTGTGAACTCTTCATTGGAATAAAGTACTGTAAATGATTCATGAATGACCAAGTTTATGAAATTCTATAAAAATATTAGCAGGTGGTAATGATTCCCTCACACTGCGAATATGATCTACTGGCTGCAAATTTGCCAATATGGGACGACAGGAGTGGAGTGGGAGACCATCTGTTAGGCAGGTCGGGTGGGGGAAAGACAGGGAAGGGAGTTGGGATAGGCTCTGCAGGAGGTGCAAGACAAAACAGGAAGCAGGGCCAGGACCATGGTAGCAGGCAGGTGTCCTTGGCAGGAGACCTTCACACTGATCTGTTGTCCAGTGGGAGATGCTCAGATAACTGGGAATGTCAGAACTGGGTGGGAGAAGAGAGGAGCATATGGAAAAAGAGGCAAAACTAACTTTATTGCGCATCTATTAAGTGCCCAAGAATTTCCTAGATCCCTGACATATACAAACCGATGAAAATGGTTATCTTGTCTTCACTGATGAGTTAGATGAGGGCTAAATAGGTTCCCTAGATGCATTTTTACTATTAACGTTGGGGTGAGCATGTCTCGAACATTTACAGTGTGCCAAGGCTCCATGCCAAATACTCAAATGATGGTCTCAGCTCATCTTCGTAAAGATAACCTTGATACATCTATCACACTCAATTCTAGAACAGGTAACGGGAACCACCTGTGTTCCTGGCCTCAGAACATGGACAAGACCTTACCGCCACCTTCTGAGTATCTGCTCACATTTTATACTATATAACTTGCTCTTTTTCGAGCCAATTTCTTAGTCAAATTTTGAATTTGTGGTCAAGAATGTTGTCATGAAATTGAAATACAACTGGCAGTCAGAGGTATCCTCGCTCATATATTTTCTTTCATTAATGTGGCTGTACCCCATTTCTAACCCATCTGTATCTCCATGACAATTTAGCAGAAAATACATTAAAGTGAAACATGCAGCTGTCATGTGGAAATAGGTATATCATAATGTCCGTGCTTATAAGATGATTGGGAGATATAGATGTACCCATATTAGAGAGTTATTAAAGTGATTAACCTGGTTATTATAATGTCCATGTTATGAACAAATGATGCACACATTACCTTGATGGGATTGTACTACACCTGATTAGACTTGGACTTGGAAAGGACCCCAGCCCTCACTAGTAGGGACATGCTACATAAGTCTTCTTTGTCCTCTACTCTGGTCTCCCCCATGGC